CCCGCTCCAGCTCATTACCCTGCACTCCCAGGGAGGGGCTGTGTGCCCGGGGCCCCTTGCCTGATAGCAGTGACCCACCTGGCCCACCCATGCCTCCCCAGGCAGTACGCCCCCAGGTGTTCCGTGTGCGCCGAGCCCATCATGCCTGAACCTGGCCGCGACGAGACCGTGCGTGTGGTCGCTCTGGACAAGAACTTCCACATGAAGTGTTACAAGTGTGAGGTCAGCCATCCCTTGGTCCTGTCCCTCTGTCCCCTTGAGGCTGGCTCTGTCCAGGGGGAGTGGGAGTCCCTGCTTAGTAACCAGGTAATGGAAAGCATGACTGTCCTGCCCAAACGCTTCTTGTGGGATTTCTGAGGTCACTAGAGTCCTGGATAAACCAAGAAAGAGGACTATGGGGAGGAAAGAGTTGTGCTTGAGCGTGGCCGGGAATAGGGAGTCCAGGAGGCTAGAGGAGGGCAGGATGGAGTTGAGGGAGAATGGGAGGGGCCAGCAGCCTTCAGGGAGGGCAGGGGAGTGGAGACCTTGCAGGAGAGGCCCCGTTGGTAATTAGGAGTGGAGAGACAGTGTGGGTGGGAAGACAAGGACAGCAGCTCTGAGCTGTGGATACATATGGCCTTCCTAATTCAAAGATGGAGCCCCTGGAAGGCCGGTGGGGCAGGGGCCTTCCTGGCCAGAGTCGTCTTATCTTGCCTTCTTCCCAGGACTGTGGAAGGCCTCTCTCCATCGAGGCAGATGACAATGGCTGCTTCCCCCTGGATGGCCATGTGCTTTGTCGGAAATGCCACACCGCTAGAGCCTAGAGCTGAGCAAAGACTGCCCGCCTCTGGGCTGCACGCCACCCCCACGGACCACCCACGCCGAGACCAGCTGCCCTGCAGCGCCCACCCACCTGTTACTGTTTTGTTGCCTAGCCTCCCTCCATTCCAAACCCCACCCCAGTATCAAGCGCCCTGACCCAGGGCTCCACTCCACCCAGGTCTCAGCCCCAGCCCACCCTGCAGGATGGCTGCTGTCCTGTGGGTGCCCACCTTGGGACACCAGGGTTAGAGCTGCTGCTTCCACTGCTGCACCGGGGCTGGCCGGGCAGCCTTTGTACTCTGCTTGGAGGGGAGGGGATCCTGGCCCGGGAGCCTTGGCGACTGGCCTAGACACTGCCCCTGTCCTGTGCTGCCAGGTTGTGGCTACAGCTACAAATAAAACAAACCCTATTTTCCAGAATTTGCAGACATGGACTCTTCTGTAGTGTCAACAGCCCTCAGGTGGGATGGGGGAAGAGGGCTAACGGATCGGGGGTAAGGGTGAAAACGTAGTTCCTCTTTATTTACAAAAATATATATGTATATGATGAATATATATTAAGCCCTCCCCCAACTCCCCCCACAAGTACCTTTTGACTTTTACCCCCACCTCCCTTTGGAAAACAGAAGAGAGGCTCCCAGTGTCCAGAGGAAAGTCCTCCAAAGGGTAGGCAGGAGCAGCACCAAGAGCCTGTGCAGGCTACAGGAAGGGCCGAGGCGAGTCCACAGCCCCCTCCCTGCTCCCGGAGGAGAGGGTGGCCGAGAGCAGGGAAGGCCTTGCCCTCACAGCGCTCATCAGTCCTTGAACCCTTGAATACTGCAGAGGATGCGCTTCTGGTGTCCCGGTAGCGTGATTCCCATCTGTGTCAGGTCCCTGTGGGTGAGCAAGGGGGCTGTGAGTCTTGGGGGCCTAAGCCCCACACCCCTGCCCACCCCATGCCCAGGCGCCAGCTCCTCACTCGGCTGTCAGCTCCAGCACACATTCCATAGTGTCCAGCCCGGCGGAGCGGAAGTGCAGAATGTAGCGTTTCATGCGAATGGACTCGAGCCACTCAGAGACGCTGCGGTAGGGGATCCCATCTGAGCCACTCAGGCTGGGCAGGCGAAGAGTCACCCTGTGGGACACAGGGCTGCGTGAGTCACAGGGCTGCAGGGTCTGATGGGCCTGGGCCTCTGAGACAGGCCAGTCGGGTGTCTGAGCAGAGATCATCTAGACCTGGCGGGTTGGCCTGGCCATTGTCTGGATCCACTTCCTGCCTGCTTCCTGGTGTACTCGCAGCAATGGCTGGCTGGCCCGGCTGCCTCACCACAGGTCTAGGGAAGTGGCAGCCCTGGGAGTCACCAACAGAACCAAACCAGTCCATCTCCCAAGGGAATGGCAGGTGGTAGGGGGTGGTTCAGGCATGGAAGTGCCCCAGGGGGGACACTGAAGGCAAGAGAGGCCCTGGTGCCTGGCCATGGTCCTGCCTGTCCCTGGGTGGCCACTTGAGTTTTGGGAGTGGCCCTCATTTGCCACCTTCAGCCTCGGCTGTTATTCTTGCTCTCCAACACCCACAGCACAATGAGTGTTCCTGTCCTGAAGCCAGCCAGAGCCAAAAACCATTAGCAAAGTAAATCTGCCGGGGGAAAATATCCAGCATTCCAGAAAGATTAGCCACACGCAATCTCCAGTGTACCAGGGAGCTCTGCTCCAAAAGATAGTTTCGAAAGTTGGAACTTGGAGTACATTTCCTTCCAGAAACAAGGTTATATATGGTGGTTTGATAGGAGCCAGCATGCCAGGCGGGCTCACTTGGTAAGGCACTGCAAGGATAGCCCGGCCTGTCTTCCCCACCTTCCCCTCCCGACCAGCTCCTTCTCCACATTCCCGCCATGTCTCATGGATGGTATTACAAAACCGGTCAGTGGTTCTCCGCACTCAGAACAAAGCCCCGAGTTCTTGGCAGAGCTGGTCCTCTCTGCCGATCTCTGATGCCATCCCTGACTGGATGCTGCTGTCATCCTGTACGAGCAGCAGCCTGCCGGCCCCCACCTCCCCGGAGGCTGACCACGTGATCAGAGAGCCTTTGCAGACCCCACAGAGCCACCCTTGCGGTCCCCATCCCAACTCAACTGCCAGGCTTCCAGGAGCAGCTGCCAGGCGTAAGGGCTGCTGCATCTCCAGTCCTAGCGAAGCACGTGCACCAGTGGCTCATTTTCCTGTTTCCTCGGACGGTGCACGTGTTCACTAGAGACAGGAGGGAGAGAAGCGCCCCCATGTCCTCCCCACTGGTTGGAACATCTCCCTGCTTAGCTGAAGTCTGTCTATACACACGCTCATGGGACAGTCCCTCCCCACTAGTTACTCTCTTGAAGCTGGGCCACATATAAGGAAGGAGGGCCAGCTGGTGGCATGGGAATTGAGTCCTCCAAAATGTGCTGAGCAAGTGAACGTTCCTGCACAGGTGGGAACATTTCCACAGGGAAGTCCCACAGAACTCCCAGAGCAAACGTGGCTGGGGCTATAGTTCGATGCAGTGGAAGGGGGAGGGGTCTCAGGCCAGGCAAGTGTGGGTCTCAGGCCAGGCACGGGTAGGGAACTGGGACTGCTTGCTGCAACGGCTTTTCTGCTCACAGATGTGCGTAATTTCCAGGGCAGGTAGTTCCTCTGAACAGCCTGTGTGCGCATTCCACCTGTGTGTTTGCTTACTAGGCAGGTGCGACCACGACTCCTCCACTGGGGCGCTTTCCTCTAAGGGCGGATTGTGGTCTGGCCTCTGTTCAGAGCTCCCCAGGCCCAGTCCTCCTTGGCTGTGGCTGGATGTCCATTTCCATTCTCCCAGATCTGCCCTCTGACCTTCCTTGCCTCCCCCAGCACGGTTACCTGGGGTCGAAGTTGGCGATGGTGCGCAGGGAGTGCGGGTTGGCGAGCAGCTGCTCCAGCTGTGCCTGCAGCTTGTGGAAGTGGGGCCGCTGGGCGCGGTCGTAAGCCCAGCAGCCCTTCATGAGTTCATACAGAGGGGCCGGGCAGTCCACAGGAGGGGGCAGCCGGTACCCATCCTCGATGTTCTTCATGACCTGTGCGGAGAAGAGGGAGGGGTGCCAGGCTGGAGACCCCTGACCAGAGTAGAAGCAGAAAAGAGGGCGGACATGAAGTGAAGGGGCCTGATGAAATAGGAATGAAGAAAACTGGGGGTCAGGAAGAAGAAATAAGGACACCTGCAGGAAGAGGCCCTGGAGGGAGATGCAAGGCGTGAGTCGGGGATGATATTCCAGCTCACCTCCTGATTGCTCATCTCCCCGTAGGGCTTGTCCCCAAAGCTCAGCACCTCCCACATCACAATCCCAAAGCTCCACACATCGCTGGCCGTGGTGAAGATCCGGTGGGCGATGGCTTCAGGGGCTGTCCAGCGGATGGGGATCTTCCCTCCCTGAGAAGGCACGTGGGACAGAAAGGTGGTATGTCATGAATGAGAGTGAAAAACATATGTGGGGGGCCGGCCCCATAGCACAGTGGTGAAGTGCTGTGCATTGGGAGCTGGATCCCATATGGCAGATTGTGGTTCAAACCCTGGGGTCGGCACGTTGAAAAACACTCTAGGTGCATGTGTACATTTGTGCCCAAAATCCTGATGGGAAGGAGCCACGCAAGTTAGGGGATTGCTGTGGGACCATGCCTCTCTGGGGGATGCTTTTTCTCTCTCTGTGAGCATAAGCACCCTCTGGCCATTAGAAAGGAAACGTGTCGGAAGGAGGTGGAAAATGACCGTGCCCACGAGCATGAACCCGTGCTCGTACACATGTGCCTGGACGTGATCACGCCTGTGAACATGTATGCAGCATGGACAGGGCTCTAACCTGGGTTTCGTAGGTGCCGTCGAAGTTGTCCAGGAGGCGGGTCAGGCCAAAGTCAGACACCTTGCAGCACAGGTTCTGACTGACCAGGATGTTCCTGGCAGCCAGGTCCCGGTGGACGTAACTGTGGTCACTGAGGTAGTTCATGCCAGAGGCTATGCCCTGCAGCATGGCCACCAGCTGCCCAGGGGCCAGCTGGTCCTCCCGGTCCTGTGGCAGGGTGAGTGGAGAGTCAGGAAGTGCAGGGCCTCCTCCTCCAGTGCCGGAGCCCACAGTGCATGCCCCTCCCTGGCCGCCCCTCTGCCCTCCTCACCCTCAGGAAGGCATCCAGGGCCCCGTGCTCCATGAACTCCGTGATGATCATGATGGGCTTTCCTGGCACACAGTGTGTGTCATCAGTGCCAGGTCCGGGCTTCCTGACAGCACCTCCTCCCAGCCCTCCCTGCCTTCCCGCACCCGGCCCCCCAGCTCAGGGAGCTCGCTCCTCACTCTTTGTGACAACGCCTTCCAGATGCAGGATGTGCGGGTGGTTGAACTGGCCCATGATAGTCGCCTCTCGGAGGAAGTTCCACCACTGGCCCTCTGGGGATGTGTCTTTCAAGGTCTTAATGGCCACAGTCTTGCAGTCCTGGCTGGGGAGCCGCAGGGTCCCTCGATACACTTCTCCAAACTCTCCTGGGTGGAAACAGGCATAGCCCAGTGCACTGTCAGGCTCCCCAAGGGGCAGGCGGGGACCCAGAAGATCAGAAGTGCGGAGTGTCCTCCTGGGACAGGGCCTGGGTGTCCTTCTGGAGACGGGACAGAGTCTGGAGCCCCGGTGGAGCTGTGTGTCCTGACTCCAGCACTAGCACAGCCCGTGGCCTTCAGCAGGTGCTCAGGGAACGTAGTGGGGAATGGGCCCCGTGCGGTGGGCCTGGGGTGTGCTCAGGGAGTGCAGGCGGGTCCACCCCTAGTGACCAAGTGACATGGGAGGCTGACCGCTGCTGCCTCTCTTCTCTTCCGTGGCCTCCTCTTGCTATGGCTCGCTGACTTGGCTGGACAATTGGCAAGGATACTGCCAAGCTTTGTTCTCTGCTCAGATTCACTTCTTCCAGTGATCCAGGGGGTCAGGACAGCCCGAGGACACTGGACCCTCATGGGGTAGAGTGCTGGGCCAGGGAAGTTCTGACTCCCCCCACTACTTGGGAACCATCAGGGAACAGTCCGAGCCTCAGCACAACACTATGATGGACAAAGACGTGTCTGACACACTATTGGAAACTCCACGGCCATGGAAGGGCAGTGTGAGGTGCACGGGGCTGCTCCAGGCACCTGATGGTGGTGGGGGTGAGGGTGAACATCAACATAGCCATTCAAAGAGGAACAGGGAACCACAGAAAGTGGACACACTGGGCTCTCGGGCCAGAGGTGCCAGCTGGCAGCTCCATGCTGCCATCCAGAGGGCCCCGGCCATGGTGCACAGACACACTCACCTTCCCCGATGACCGTGTCCACTACCAGCCAGGCAGGATCGAGCTCCTGCGTGAAGTCCAGGGCCCCCTGTGCAGGGTCCTCGTATGCCTGCAGGTCCACGTAGGGCTTCAGCCACAGTTTGTCCTCTGGGAGAACAGGGACGGCTCAGCCACAGGAGCGCCAGCTTTTGGGCTCAGGGGGGTGGGATGGGGGCGAGCAGGACGGGTGGCTATGGTGCCCATCCTTGCCCACACTCCTCTGCTCCCAGAATTCTTCCAGTTTTGGCTGAAGTGGGAGGAAGTCTCCGTCCTTAGCAACTGAGCACGGCAGCCCAACATTTCTGCTTCCCGTCTCTCTCCAGGTCCCTGTGCCCATTCCCCAAGGTCTAGCACATTGGGCCAGGTAGTGACGCCAGGGTTGTGTCCTCTGCCTGGAGTTTCCCATGCTCTCGGCTTGGTGACCCAGGCTCTGGTCCCTTGCCCGTCTCTTCATCCAGCCCCCATCCTGCTCCAGTCAGTCACGCCTCGTCCACATCCCCTGCTTCGCTCACCCCAGGGATGTGGATGGAATACCGACTGCCCTTGGCAGGGCACCTAACGAGGTGACAAGCAGGAAGGCCTCCAGTTCCTGTCCTCCCGGCCTGGCCCGCAGCCCTGGCCACAGGATGAGAATGGCTGCTCAGAGCCCTGGGTGGCGGTCCAGTGGCACCAACAGCTAACATATAATTGCACCACAGCCACTGGAGGGCTATCGGTGCAACGTTAATTAACCAAAGTTAATTAGGTAGCAAAACACCAGAGCCCTAGGGACAACCAAGCCCACTTCACTGCCAGAGTCGCCCCAGCAAATGTGAGTCCCTAGGTCCCTCCTGACACGTACACATGCATGATACCTGCGTGCAGACACAAGTGCACACACACACATGTGTACACACGTGTTCTCGGCTTACCTCGATCCATGTCGGTGACTCGATCGCGCTGCCTTTGCTGCCGCTGCCGCCGAGCTCTCCTGTGGGGATGGAGGGCCAGCTCTGTCAGGGTCCCAGGGCTACCCTAGGGGCCCAGGGGCATCTGATTGGATCTCCCAATGTAGCAGAGATGAGGGAGCAGAACGGATACGGGACACACCAGGACTTTGGTGTCAGGGCTGGGTGGGCTACTGGGACCACAGGTGGGGGGTATTCTGTGGCACAGGGACTCAGGATGGCTTTCAGGGGGAGGTAAGACTGGCACCTGGAACGGAAGACGAGAATTCCAAGCAGCAGAGCGACACCGAGCAGCACCCCGAAGATGATGGCCACAGTCTCCCCTCCAGTCAGGCCCCTGGAAACTGTGGGTGCACGGCGTGAGCAAGTCTGGGGGCTCACAGTCCACTGAGACGATGGAGCTTAGAAGGGCGGGGCCTGTGCAGCCAAGGCAGGCCTCTCCGTGGGCGTCGGGTGCGTGTCTGCCCCTGTACCGGGACACGGGTGGGTACATGTGTGCGCATGCGTGCAGAGAAAGAACAGGGGCCACGACTTGGAATAGGAGCTGGGGGCCTGGGTGGGATGACGTGTGTGTGTGTGTGTGTGTGTGTGTGTGTGTGTGTGTGTATACAGAACAGATGATAACCCACCTGGGGGGCTGGTCCGAAACTCATGGTCTGGGGAGAAGGGGCCGGGGCCCAGCGGGGTGAGCATCCGCACTCTGACGATGTAGGTGGTGTCTGGCTGCAGCTCCGTCAGCAGGACCCGGGGCTCGGGCACCATCTGATGCCGCTCTTCGTCCTGTGGGTGGGACTCATGTTAACTGGGTCCCGCGGAAGCGAGCCTGGGAGACTGCGGTGGGCAATCATGGGAGTACACGGGAGGTCAGCCAGGAGATGGCAAGGACAGGGCTCGTGGGAGACCTCTGTCCCAAGAAGCCCTGTGCTTTACTTCGGGTGGCTCTTCCCTGCTGGGCCCCAGGCTGGGAATGTTGGTGTCCCCAGGCATGGACAGCAGGGCCTGTCTCTCCTGAGCACCTGACCTGGTTCAGCACATGCAGCTCGTAGCTCAGGTTCCCGCCGGGGCTGCGAGGCCGGGACCCGGCCCAGGTCAGCTCCAACTGCCGTGGTTCTTTCTTCACCAGGGTCAGAGACAGGCCTGAGAGCGGCTCTGGGAGTTCCGAGGGATCAAATTGGATTTGGAAGGAAAGAGGAAGTAACTTAAGTGTCTTGTCAATGGTCTCCTGCCCACCCATCTGCCCTCTGTGCGCTCCAGGTCTGTCACCTGCATGCCCCATGCTGATGCTGAGGGAGGAGCTGGCGGGGCTGGAGCCGTCGAGACTGGACACTCCATTCTGAGCTTCGACAGTGAAGGAATAGTTGGCGTAGGACTCAAGGCCCAGGACACGCACGACAGGCACGGTGAGGCCCCTGGCCTCCGGAGAGAAGCGCACGCCTTCCCCACAGGGCTGGCAGGGCCCTCCATCCTGCGCTGGACCCTGACACTGGGAGCACCTCACGTTGTAGCTGACGTCCTGGCGTCCCCCCATATCGGCTGGGGGCTCCCACCGCAGGGAGAGCTGATTCCCTGACATAGAGAAGCTCAGGTTTTGGGGAGCCGAGGGGGAACCTGTGGGGAAGAGGAGCCATCAGTGAGTCAGCTGTAGTTCCAGCCACACCGCTGACACCCCCACTTCCACCTGTTACCCAGTTCTTGAAGTCCTGCCAAGTCCTGGTCGGGAGGTTTGATTCCTCCAGAGGAGAAAGTAACTGATGCACATCTCCTCAATCTCCCAGGGGGCTACAAGCCTGACGTGCTGCAGGGACTCCCAAACTGGGAAATTCTGGAACATTCTAACCCCCCACAAGGCCTCCTTCCCCAGGACCAGCGCCTGTCCCCTGGACTCACGTGTGCATGCCACCTGGGGGCCCTCCCCAGGAGCTCTGTAATGGTCACTCTCACAGGTACAGATGGTGGCCCCCTCGGACGTGGCTGTGCTATGTTGGGGACACTCGAGACAGTGGGCTGTGTCCATGTCAGTTCGGTAGGAGCCACTAGGGCAGGCTGGAGAGAAATTGCTTGAACAGGCAGAATTATCACCGTCCGCTCCCCGCCCAGTTTCTGTGGCCAACCCTGTGCTCTTGGACGTTCAGGGTGAAGTCTCGAGACATGGCATCGGCTGCCTTCTGTGCCCCGCCCCCCGCCAGACCCTTCCCCGTGGCCCTGACCACCTTCCTCCTTACCGACGCATTCCTTGCCGCTGCCGCTCTCCTCATAGCCAGGCTCGCCGTGGCAGCGGCCCCCCCGGCCCAAGCCCCCCCCCGCCCCCCCGCCCCCAGCCACTCACCCTCAGGGCTGCAGTGCATGCGGGGTGCGCCCAAGGGCCCAGGCCTGGCCTGTGCGTGGGGCAAGCAGGTTCCTGCCACTTCCGCCAACCCAGCAGGGCCCGGGAGAGTGTCAGGGAATCGGGCCAAGCCATGCACAGCATCTGGACAGCGTTGGTAGAACACCCGCACAGACACCAGGGCCACACAGGCACCCGGGTTGTGGAAGGCAAGGTAGAGGCCGCGGCGGGTCAGGCGGCCCAGGGAGCAGCGTTCCACATTCAGCTTCACGGAGCCAGATGCCAGGTCACGGATGGTGAAGCTTTGGTCTGCGGCCACCGTGGTTACCTGGGAGAAGCGGGGAAGAAGATGGGAGAGAGCACAAAACAGAAACAATTGCTCACTTGAGACTTTACAATTCATGGCTAGCCAGCTGGTGTGGAGGTTAGGGTGGCTAGAACCCACATGGCCAGCTGTATGGTTTGAGTCCCAAACCTGGTGGCTTGAAAAATATACTGGACACGTGCATGGGCATGCCAAAAATCCCAAGAAGAGAGTGGAGAAGAAGGGATTGATTCACTCTTCCACCCCCATTCTGTCTCGCTAACAGGCATGCGCACCTTATAGCAAAACAAAATAAGTAAGACTACAATTTTTGCAACTGTGAATGGAGAGCTTACTGCATGTGAGGAATGAACAAGGCACTTTATGTGCATTTCCTTCTGAGCCCCTGCAGTGGCCCTCTGAGGTAGGGTGGTCTAGCATCTCCATTTGACAGGTGTGGAAAAAGCTGTGGCTAAAGCCCACTTCTAGATCTCACTTCCACTGCATAACAGGGTGAGGACTGGAACCCAAGCAGTGGGTTCTCCCAAGCTCTAGTCTATAAGATTTCCACCATGGGAGGGTGTTTCCAACCCCAGTGCCAATGAGGTGATCAGTTACAGAGTGTCTCATAATTAATGTATTACCAATTACAAATTTGACAACACTGCCTCTTTGGGGATGAAATGACAGCACATCCTATACCGATGGCTTCATGTTCTCTTGTAGTATAATGTGCTTTGCTAAGTAGGAAAGGGATGGGATGAGCGAGAGCCAGCCTGGAAGGAATCGTCTTACGAACTAACTAGCCACAATCGTGGCGGAACGTTACACACACGTTGTGGGTATGGCTAAAAAAGGTCCTCATCACCACTGCGCCCTATTGTCTCAGTGAGTGCTTGCACAAGTCTCTACATTAAGATAAGGCAGGCCAACTATTTTCATTAATTAAGTTTGCCAGGAGGCACGTGTGCTCCCCAGAAGTGGGAAGGAGAGGGAGAAAGCACCCCCAATCACTGCAATCCCTTCTCCTCCACTTCAGTATCCTAATGGGATTTGGGGCATATACACACACATACGCAGTGTATATTCCAAGCTACTGGGACTGGGATTTGAATCACATGTTGGCCATGTGGGGTACAGGTTCCTTAGCCCCCTAAACCTGGGCTGGCCCTGGCCCAGTTATTATTACTATCTTTTGATGAGGAAACTAAAGCTTAGAGAGATTAAATGCCATCTCCAAAGTCGGGGCATAGCAGCAAAGGAACTTGAGTCCAGCCCTCTGATTTCTAGTCCCTCACTCTTCTCATTATTTCACACCTGCACTCTGTTCCTGTCCTTGACCCCCTCCTGTTTTCCCTTAGCTGACCAGGGTCGGCGAGGAACCAGGCAGGGGTTAGCATCAAGACAGAGATGGCATGCAGGGTGGAAGCACCTTTTGGAATAAGGGTCGTCGGAGCTGAATGCCCACGTCCTGGTCACTCTCCATGTAGAGAAGGTTGAAGGTCTCCTTGCAGCCCGCAGGCCTGGCTCCCCCTGGGAAACTCTTGCAGTCCCGCACCGTGAACTGCAGCTCCACGTGCACACGCGAAGCCTCCTCCCCACGGTAGATCCAGTTGGAGCGAAGCCAGTGGTCAGTATCTCCGCCTTCTTGCACTGGACAGTCCTGGTACATGTACAGGGGTGTCCCGTTCAGCATCTGCTGCACCTCGCTCCACTGTGAGTAGACAATCAGAGTCAGGGACCAGACCCCAGTGGAGAGGATGCTGACAGAGCCCCTGAGGTCCACTTACCCGGACTCTCCCTGTTCCTCAGCCCCACGGTAGTATGTTCAGTGTCTAGAGTAGGGAATTTATTTGGTGGGATGGGCAGGGCAATAGTCCCTTCACGACCCTGGTGCTCCAGTAACCATCTCTAACCAGAGTGTGAGTACTACTCTATACCTACTCATTGGCAGAGCTGTCAGGACCCCAAAGGTGAAACTCATTCACAAATCTCTTCTGCCTATGTGACGAGGGAAGATGAGGCTTATTTTCAAATATTAAAGCCCCTAAGCTTTCAGAAGGCAAGGGCAAGCACAGCACGCTTCTGCATAGGGGACTCTCACCTTCCGCAAGATCCTTCCATTGTAGCCATCGTTAAGATCAACACCTGACAGTTGGCTGAACTCCTAGACACTATCTAGTTCACTCCCTCAACTCCTTTCACATTAAGAGAACTGTTTTCATTTCTCTATTTTTATTTTTGCCTGAGGGCACATGCACTTGCCAGAAAGAGACAAAGAGACAAAGAGAGGGAGAAAGCACCCCAGTGGCTACACTGCAATCCCTTCTCCAGGTCTCCATGCCTTTGGGATTATGGGAATGTACGTGCACGCACCTGTGTTTTTCAAGCTGCCAGGGCTGAGATTTGAACCACATAGCCAGCCATGTGGGATACGGCTCCCTTAACTACCACACAAGAGAACTGGCTTGATGGATTTATCGATTTATCAATGCGCTAGAGGTCATATGTACTTGCTAGAGAAAGACAGAGAAAGAAAGAGAGAAAGTGAAAGTGCCCTCCATGAGGGATGGTCATGCCACAATCTTTTCCCCATTTCTCCTTTTGAGATTCTGGGCATGCATGCACATGGACCCAGCATATTTTGCAAGCTGCCAGGTTCGGGATTCGAACCATGCAGCCAGCCATGTAGGATCTAGCTGTCTTAACAACCATGCCATTGGCTGGCCCCTATTTATTTTTTAAAGTTTATTTTATTCATGATAGAGAGCATGTAAGAGAGAGAGAGAGAGAGAGAGAGAGAGAGAGAGAGAGACACCATTGATAAGGTTTTGTCAAACTTTATTCCTCTTCCTATCCCCTTCCCACAGCCTTCTAGCTTGTCAGGATCTTGGGCACACACATGCATGTGGCGTGTTTCAGGTAGATTGGACTGGGAATCCAAACCATGGCTGGTGTGTGGCTTCCAGCACCACAGTTCAGTATGCTACAGGCTGCACCACCAAGGCTGGGCCAAAATAATTTTTAAGCTTAGTAATACCGAAGGCTAGGATTACCATGGTGCTTATCATGGGCCAGTCATGGCTCTTAACATTTTTTTTTTTTTTTGAGAGATTTTCACTGTAGGGCACATGCGCTCGCCAGACAGACAGAGAGAGACATAGAGACAGAAAGCGAGAAATCACCCCCCAGGGGGGATGGTCACGCCGCAATCCCTTCTCCTCCATTCTCCTCTCGGGATCTTGGGCACGCACGCACACGCGCCCGACGTGAGTTTTAAGCCACCGGGTCCGGGACACGAACCGCGGTCGACTACGTGGGAGTCCAGCGACATAGCCATTACGCTAACTGCTGGTTCCCAGCTCTTAACATTTTCTATGAGGAGATTGATACACAGCAAGGTTGAGTGTCTTGCCCTACATACTCAGAGGAGGCAGAACTAGGATGGGAGCCCAGGCACTCCGTATTCCAGAACTGATTTATTTAGAGAGCTTTTTGCTATAGGGCATGTGTGCTCGCTGGAGAGAGAGAGAGACAGAGACAGAGACAGAAAGTGAGAAATCATCCCCCAGGGAGGATGACCATGCCACAATCCCTTCTCCTTCATTCTCCTCTTGGGATCTTGGGCACAGACGTGCATGTACCCGGTGTAAGGTTTAAGCCATCAGGTCCAGGACTTGAACCATGGTTGACCAAGTGGAAGTCCAACAATGTAACCATTATGCCATCTGCTGGTTCCTAGGCTCTAGAATTTATAATTTTTTAAAAAAGAATTATTTATTTAATTTTATTTATTCATTCATTTATTTTAATTTGACCAGACACACACACACACACACACACACACACACACACACAGAGAGAGAGAGAGAGAGAGCGAGAGAGAGAGAGACAGGGAAAGTGAGAAAGCAAGCCACCAGGATGGGGACTCAGACCGTGGTTGGTCATGTGGGAGTATCCAGCACCTTAACCACCATGCCACCTCCTGGTTCCAAAATTTATGATTTTAATCATTATGGCTCTGTGCACTTATTATAAAAAATCAAAGAATAAAGACTTAAATAAAATAAAAAAGTTTAAGTCTCCCCCCGAACCTTCCACACACATGGTTCCCAGAGGCAGCCGCTCGTAACAATTTGTAGGAAAACTTTCCGGATTGTTTTCAATGCCTCTAGAGAAATGTTTGAATGTTTCTGTGTTTTGTGTCTAACATGAAAGAGATCATACAAGTGCTATTCTGTAACCTACTTTCTTTTTTAACAAAGACGTCTTTGAAAGATGCCTACATGAGTCTTTTTGTCCATCCATCCATCCATCCATCCATCCATCCATCCATCTAACTCTTTTTTAGCAATCTGTAAATAGGACTCCACTGTATAGGCAGAATATTATTAATTTATTTAATCATTCACCCACCGTTGGACATTTAGGTAGCTTCTAGTTTTTTGGTTTGTTTTTAAGAAACCATGTACAGATTAATGTAGGATTTCTGTAGAACTGTTATATCAGAGGCTAGACAAACTACAAATGTTGTAAAATACAGCCAAATTGTCCTCCAGAAAGGCTTTATCAATCTATACTCCCACCAACAATGCAAGAAAGCTCATTTTCTCAAAAGCTCCTCACTGCTGAATAGCAACGATCTTTTTACTTTTTGTCAGTCCTACTGTCAAGACACATTTTTGTCATTTTTTTAAAAAGAATTATTTATTTAACTTAATTATTTTTATTATTATCCTTTTTAAATCTGGTACAGGGCATATTCACTCACCAGAGATGGGGGGGGGGGCAAGGAAGCAAGTCACCAGGCCTGTGCCTCACAAGGCATTC